CTGCATCGAGATCTCGCGCAGGTGACCTCTCAGTTTGACCACCCAACGAGAAAGGAGCAGCAGACACATTGCTTTACATTTTTACATCGAAAGAATATGATTCAATCACATCTTATATAAAAACATAAAGTGGACGTTTTTGGCGTTACTTTATAACTTGAGAACGGTTCAAAGTTATGTAGCAGATTCGGGTTATAGTGGTTTGCTCGCTTATAAGACGTTTGTTCGTGTTCTAAAAGGGGTGACATGGCACCCCCATACTAACGAAGATATAAAAATTGGTGATCGATTGTTGTACTTAGAATCTTGAGAACGCCTGCACAAATTTCAACCAAATCTCATATCAGCATACTTAAAATGTCATCAAAATTTTGGAAAAGGGGCGTGGCACCTTTTTTCCAAATGTCAAACTTCACATAAACTATCTTCTCTACAGAGATATAAAAATAAGTTCACATTTTCGTTGTTTATAACTGAAGAATGGCTTCACAGACCTCAACCACATGTACGAGTATACAGGGTGTTCCGACTATCATGCAGATTTTTTATGTTATGCTAACATTGGAAAATGAGGAACGGCGAACTGCGATTTAAATAAATTTTTATATATGTATCCAAGAGAACTTAAGAATCAATCAATTTTTAGATCAGAGCCACATAGAGTCTTCTATAAGTGGTTCTACAACTGAACTCAATCCGAATGGCCGCTTCTGGATTGGCAAACAGATTTTTTGTGGTCAGTTAATTATTAATTAAATTTTTTATGTCAGTTAATAAACTAGTGATTACGATTAGGCGCATTAGGCAATCGATTTGGCAAAATTATTATTGTTTTTGCAATTATGTATATAATATTAGTAAGTTTGACAGACAATTCATTATGAGTGCTCTTTAAGCTTTTCAATATTTAAAATGAAAATCTACTTTTCCAACTTTGCAAATAATATTGTCTATAAATTCAATTATTGTCATTATTGAAACAAATTATAATCTAGTATAAATTTTGGAATCATAGCTTAAGAAAGCTTTATATGCCCATGAGTTTGTTTGTATTGACATTATGGTAATATAATTAATGTGGACAACGCCAATTTAGCATTACAAATTTACAATTTGTGGAACAAAAAATTAGATTCGATATACTGCATTAATAGCTCAATTCTAGAATTGTGAAAGTAAATATTGGCTATGGTTTATATTTTGAACACAGTTCTATACAACAACAAATTACGAAACGAGTTGCCAGTGAACGGAAAACAAGATATATTTGATGCTCAAAAATTGATTAATATGTTTAATAGGAGTACATGTGTGTGTAGGTACAAGTAATCGCGATGGTAAAGACCTTTCTAAAAAATGCTAAACAGCAAATGTTTTTGTTTTATTTGACAAAATGGCTTAAAATAATTTCGATTGGTATGCAAAAAAAAAAATGGCTAAACAATTTGACTAGTAAGTGGATGAACACTAGCAGTAATTTGCGAACTAACGAGAATTGACAGATTTAATTTGTAACCAATCAATTTGAAGTATAACAAATTTTTTGAAAAAAGAAAATCAATACCGATGGCAAAGCTGCAATAAATAACTGGATGCGGCGAACAGCTGGCCGTCTTAAGAATTTGATTAAATATTAATTCTGAAAATGCTGAAAATAATTTAAAAAAACAATAAAAAGTCTTCAAAGAGAATCTGTTTTGTCTGTTTCTTCAAGCAAAAAAATAAACTCAACCAAATAGGAAGACTATTAATAACAAATCAATTTATTCACTGCCGTATGAATGCCAGCGCGAGGGTTGGAGTGATGGACATCGCTTTAATAAAGCTTGATGGGACATTGAAAGGTATGCTAAACAAAAAAAGAAGACAATGTGAGAATCAAAACAAAAGTACTAAGAAAAAACAAATTTGATTGGGCAGCAAAAAAATTCAAAAAATATTGAACTAAAAAAATGAATATCATAGAAATATAAAACTCATTCTTACTCCACGGACGTAGACTGAGAGTGAATGCAACGACTGCCTGGTGCTGGGGTAACATTGCATTCGCAATATCAGAATATATCTTAATTCATTCCTTTTCTTGGCAAATGGATGCTCAGAAATTGATTATCTTAATTAATTTTCTAGTATTAAAATTCCACAAAAGAATGTGATTGTAAAAATGAATGCATGAGCCACATACATATGTATGTATGCAGTCATCATAATCATAAGTTTCTGGTTTGTAATTGAAAAACAATTAAAAGGCAATTGTATTTGAAAGAAAAAAGATGCACCTGCTTAATCTTGTGGTGAATGACGTACGTGTATTTGCACTTGTATTGGTGCGTTGGTGAGTGAATGATCGTCTTGTTCATGCAAGTTAATGAACAATGATTTATTGGTAATTAATATTGCCATTATAATTGCTTGTAAAGAGTAAATATAATAATTCGAGGAATGTGAAATGAAAAAGTAAAAAATAATTAAATACATATAGTTATCTGATTGAGTTATTTATAATGAGATAAGCAGCCAAATGGAATTGTATGTTTTAATGATAACTCAAGCCCCTTTTTTGAATTGTGTGCAGGTTTCAGCGTGTGGAAAGTATTAATGGAGAGCTTAGAATTTTAATTTCAAATTGAATGATTTTCTGTCACATCTTCTCTTCTTTTGCAAAATGTAGTTTATGGTTAGCATACGATTTTTTCGTTTTTATGAAAGTTCAAACGATTTAAATATTGGTAAAAACCCACACGAACAACAGGCATGTGAACATTTGTGAATTAGCATAACTAAGACATAATTAGTTTAAGGCTTAAGATCAGATTTAGCTAAATCGTGCCAAGACAGGCAAATTCAAAAATCACTAGCAAATGTAAGGGTGCAAGGGAATTTGAATTTCTTATTTTTTATTTATTTTAGTTTACTTTATTTAATTTAACATATTTATTTGTACTTATACTTATCTGCTTCCACTTATATTGTTTTTTATTCGAGATATCTTTTTTGTAATAACAAACCTACTAAATACTAAAAATCAGACTTTCTGTTTTACTTTTTATGTTATCAATTCTTTTTTTTTTTTTTTGGAAAATGTTGTACTTTACAGTTCTTTTATACAGCCTCGAGAGTGTCACATTCGCATTTATCGTTATTTTAAATTGAAGCCAAGTAGTTCAATTAATATTTTAACGGTTTTTCAACTTCAGTTTCCACGACTACTTACTAGGTTTTTTCGCCTGAATATTTTTTCATATATGCATATGCTCTTTACAGTTAGTTAAATCGTGCATGTGAACTGAACTGGGATATTTAAATATGCAAGTTATTGGATAGCAAAATATATGAATAGAGAGATAAAACTAAAAAAAAACATCCATTTTAAAATTGACTTAATCGTTAACGAAATGATGTTAGAGAAAAAGTATAAAACCAGAGAAAAAAGAAGCAGCAGCAACAACCCATATTGTCACCGTGTTGTTTTGAGCAAATTAAAGTGTCATATCATATCTTAAACGGCTACACGGTAAAACTACCCATGCTTTGTACGTAAACATGTTTGTAAATATCAATTTTGTTTTTATTTCAATAAAAACACACACAACCTGTCTATTAGATAACCCACAGCGCACCAAAGAGTCTCCCAAGTCTACCCATCGCCGCATCGCAGTCACAGTTGCCAAAAGTATTAGGCTTTTGAGTATACCTTTGTGTATGTGTGTGTGTATGAGTGCATGTGGATGTTTTTACATTCAGCTTTACAGCGATTGATACAAGTTTAAGTGACGTCTCAATGCGTCGGCGGCTTCGCATGACAACAATGAAGCATATTTACCGGTAATCACATATACATATTTATATATAATTATATATTATAGATGCTTATGTATATATGCCATGACATGGCAGCACAATTGTGGGAGTTTCTTCTTCGCTGTGGTTTATCGCCGGTGGCTATAGCCAGTTGTTGTTGTATTATAAAAGCTTCTCTTCATTATAAAAAATAATATTTAATTTTTATCTTCGCGCAAATTTATAATATGTTTCAATTGCTTTTTATTTTATTTTATTGCTTTAAAAATTGGCAAAATAAAATGGAAAAAGGTGAATATCTTGAATTGTGTCATCGGGGTTTCGTAATTTCATACATACATACGCACATATGTACATACACCGATTTTATGAATGAAAAATATTTATTAGCGAAGTAAAATAAATAAACAATATTATTGTTAATAATGCCTTTTTTGAGTTATTGGTAGGGAAATATGAATGAATATGTAATGTTTGCCCATTACTTAATTTTTCATATGTACATAACATATGTATTTATGTCTTTTGGGTGGGTGTGTTACATGCCTAAATCTTTAATGGAATTATAATAAATCACCGCTTATTTCTATAGGATTTATTTTCCTTGTTTTGATAAATGTAATATATCAGCTAATGAGCTAACAGCTAGATAAGTTAAGTCATCCATAAATGGAGCTAAGCCAATCAGTAAGAATGAGAGCTGAAAAACCTTCATTAAATACATAAATTCCGAAAATGGTATGATTCCGGTGTGATTATGTTGAAGGGCTTAATGCACACGTATGTGGATTACAAAAATATAATTACTGAAAAAAAAAATCAAGACCAACACCATGAACTGGAAGAGAACCTCAGACGGAAATGTCCCTTTTGGTTGCAAGCCGATAAGCCAGTGTCATGTAGGCATATCCATGAGAAAACGGTTTTGAGTATTGCCAATATATTTTCAGACAACTAATCACCCAGCAGTCATCCAAGATGACGGAACAGCCTAAGATTTGCAGAGTACCCTCATTCGCGAACGAGCAATGCAAGGCTCTTTTATATGATTTTCTTTCAAGTGGTGGCTTTGCCAACATCGTTCACTTATTGCGAGTAGATAAAATAGCAAATTTGCCTTAGAATTTGAAATACGGAGTAAGAAAGGGAACGGAATGGTTTAAAATATTGAATATCTTTTTATTAATGCTCTCACTTACCGATTTGTTATTACGTTCACTGCGCTGGCACACAATCAAACTGCTTATCTAATGTTAATAATTTTATTTCGTTGCACACAAATGATTTGTTTCAATAAACAAAACTCAGACCCGTAATCTGAGCGATAACTTTACACCGATTTGTACGTTGGAACACACACAGACTCATAGAATTCTTCTATATCCTTTGAGGAAGAAAAGAGGAATTTTTCAAACTGAAATTATTCAATGCTGTTATGAAAATTTTTAATTTTGTATTTACTGTAAGTATTTTATGTTTGAGCGTAAAAAGGTATTTTGGCTATTTATTGCCTGTAATTATTTGCTTTTTGTTTCTTACTTTTGTTTTTAATGAAAATTCCGTCTGATCGTTGTTTAGTAAAGCTCAAAGCAAAAAACCGTAAATTCAAGAAAAGGAACATTCAAAAAATTTAGCGAACATGCAAACGATAATCAACTGCAAAAGGTAAAAAACAATAACAATAATAATAAACCAGAGGTGGCCAGAAACAAAGTCAGAAGACGAGCAACAGCGAATACACGTATGGTTAATCATACGAAGCAACAGCAACAAAATGCAAACAACGAAAATCGGTGGCCAGACGGCCGTGACTACGCCGGACAACTGAGCCGGTGGCAGTGGCAATAGCAACAACAATGGCAATCGCTTGCATGCGATAAATAATTGCTGCTATTGGCGCTGCCGGTCGTGGATCGGCGTTGCTGCCGCTGAGCTTATGCAATTCTCTCTGCGACTTCTTCTTTGCTTATTGTGTTTATTACACTAACTTCTTTTAACCACACTTTTCGCTTATGTGTTTTCAATTAAAAAGAAAATTTGAAAAAAAAAAAATAACAATGGTCTGAGGTTTTTATAAAGATGATTGATGAAAAATAAATAAAAATAATAAGAGCAATTTTCCAATTATTTGCAATTTTCTGTGCATTTTCTGTTGTTTTGTGGCTTTTAGTAGTTTTGTCTTTTGTGTTTTTTCAATTGTCCATTGATTTCTGCGAGCAAAAAGCAAGATGTGCAGTAAGTCACTTGGCTGCTTTTCGTAACCCAGCTCAGCTCAGCTCAGCTCAGCTCTGCTCTGCTCTGCTGACCAAGATTCGCGTGCTCATTCGCTTTACTAGTTTCAAAGTGAAAATCGTTGCGGCGAAGGACAAAAACAAATTTCAGTTACATGAATATGGTGCGTTTGGGGAAACTCGATCGCTACATGCCCGAATTCAAGTTCAATTTGTATCGGATTGTTGTTGTAAATACAACTAATTGTTTTCAGAAAAATCAAAAAAATAGTTTGAAAAGTAATAGATTTGGAAAATAATCCTATATAATTTGTGCAGAAAATTTTGTAGCGAAAAATTCAATAAACATCTTTTATGACGATTCTTTCAATTTCAGTGCCTGAAAAAAATATGGCACATTTTTATTAAGAAATAATATAATTGAAAAGTTTAAAAATTATTAGAAAAAATTTATTTTTCCTGTTTCAAATTTGAATTTTAAAATAAGAGTTTTGAAATATAAAATTACGTTGCTAAATATTTTTTTTTTGATGTCTATGAAGAAGGCAATGTTTCGCATTCGCAAAAAATTAAATGAAATTGCTAACTGATGAAGGAAATTCTTTGGTTTATTTCAGGAAAAATTTTTTTAACTATTCAACTTATAAAAATAAGAACTGTTGCTCTTTGCTTGGACTTGTTTTGTGGTAAAATCTGTTTTTTATAAGTTTTCAATTCTAAGTCCTTTTAGAGTGCATACTTTTCAGCAGTGATTAATAGTTTTGTGATAACTAAGTTTGTGACGCCAAATTTTAGATTAACATTTCTGCAATAACTTAAAAAATTGGATTTATGATTTAAAATCAAAATAATGTAAAGCTCTTCCGTTTATTTTAAAAGCCGTTTCATTTTGCTTTTGTGGCGCATGCGCAAACACACATCTCAGTAAATTCAGCGCAACGATTGCCTTAGTCATCAGAAGAAAAAAACACATTCCCATTAAACGCTGCTTACTTTCAGCAAATATTTAACACATCAAAAATAAATTTCAGTTTACCGACAAACAGCTGAATAAAATAAGGGAAAAATGAAAGGTTTGCGTTTCTTTTCGTTTTGTTTGCTTTGCACCAACAATCTCGCCAGATTCGCTTGCATTTCCTACATGTCAACAACCAAAAGATGGCAATTGGCCTCTTCCCTTTTAAGCTGGTCTTTAGCGTCATTGGCATATACATATATACATATAAACATCAACAACTTGCACTCTACACTTTTGCAGCGCTTCTTCATTTATTTTATTTTTCGATTTACGTTTAAGTTTTTTTTTATATTTCAATTATTTTTGTTCACGGTGGTTTTGGTTTTTGTTTTCCCCTCGGCTTTGTTTTTTTTTACATCTTTTTATTGTTTATCTTTTTTTCAAGCTTTTTTGCAACACACAAGTTCGCACTTTCGTTTTCGTTCACATTCACAAGCGCCAGATTGTTTTAAGCTTCCCTTTTGGGTTTTATTCATCTCGTTTTTTTGGTTCCTTAACCTTATTTGCTTGAATGCACCCGAAAGGTGTTTCTTCGTTTTTGTTTTTTCATGATTAAGAAATGCAAATAATAAATTTCGATTCACCTCAGCGCTCGGATCCAAGTAGTTTGGCGCTGCCGTTGGAGACTTAGCGCGCAGCCCGTTTGCACAGACGTTTAGCAGAGTTTTACTGCCGGATCCGCGTTCGTCGACCCGATCCACACGAACACTGAAAAAGAACTAAACGCTCAGCGCTCGCTTGGCAACGCTGCTCAGCTCCGCTGCCACAGCGATCAGTGGCGAAGATCTGCCGAGAGCACACAAGAAGAAAAACTGAAAAGAAACAAAAAGCTGAAGATAAGATTTGCACACTTGTGTTGGGCCAGTGGTTGCACTAACCAAAATCGTATAGTTAGCTGCAACAGCTGGCTTTGTTTTTGCTTTCAGACTTCCTACGCTCTTCGGCGCTCTGCAGTCGATATTTGACCACAAACTAACGCATTTTGTTAGTGTAGGCTTACTCAGCTATTACCAATGTTGTTGTTGCGCTTCCTCAAAGCGTTTCGGTCGTGTTTGAAGCGCACGAGCGAAGGTGTTGAGCGTCATGGAGGTTGAGTTGGCGCCGCTGAACAGCTGAGCTGCTGAACGACTGAGCGGCTGAGCGGCTGAGCTCCTCACAACGGTTTTGCTGCGACTTGTTTGAGTTCGATTGCTCTGAAGCCGCTGAAATAACCAGGGAGTCACAAACTCCAAATTCCCGCCGCACTTTGGACTGTGTTTTGTTTTTGTATTTTCACACGTCAGGGTGACTCTGCAATATTTACTCGGTCCGCTTGCTGAGTTGATCTCCAACGACCTTGACTTCCTTAATCGTCTCACACTTGCTTAATATTTAATTTGTTTATATTTTTCCTGTCTTTATTTTTATTTGTACGCTGCAAGATATTTTACGGAAGCATTACGAGGCGGTTTTCCTGTATTTCGTTTTTTCTATTTGTTTTGCTCTTGTTTTTCAGCTCCAACACTCACTTGGATATTTTGCGCTTTGCAGGTGATAATAATCGTGCTTATTGTTGATGTTGTTATAAATTTGTCTGTGTGTATTTCTGTTCTGTTGTGCTGCGATGATGAGGATGATTGTTTCTTATCGTTTTGTTATGCTGAAGTTCGTAAGAGTTAAGCTTCTCTTCTCTCGCATTTCAGTGGAAAAATTTGAGCTCAATCAAATTATAGCTTATTACTTGGCACAATTTCATATGGGGATTGTTAAGGCTATTGTAATAATAACAATTATTTATTCTAGAAAATGTTGCACAAAATAAATTTAGAATTTACTAAAAAATTTCAACGAAACTCATGACGACTGACGCGGCCCATTTCCACCTGGATGGCTACGTCAATTGGTTAAACTGTGGCATCTCGGGCTCGGAAAACCCAAGAGTTGTTGTTGAAAAGCATCTCCATCCTCAACGTGTAACTGTTAGATGCGGCTAATGGTCCGGCGATGTCATCGGACCTTACTTTTTCGAAAATGAAAGGCTTGCGCTATCGAGAAATGGTTAATGAAGTTTTTTGGCCGGAATTGGTTGGTATTGATCTGGATACTTTAATATCAAAATAACACCGCTTTCCTTTTTATTAATTGCCAGCAAGATTATTGTGATCGTTTAAACATGAGAAGCCTTAGTGCGATCGTAACATTTTCAAACTAGGGAACTGCATTAGCGTGCAATCTCCAATCTCTAACTAAATATCTAATTGGAATGTTCTCTATATATGTGGACAAGTCTCTACAAGACCGTATCACTTAATGTGTGTAAGATCTCTGGGTTCGTTAGAATAGTGCTTTTACGATTTTACCAGCACTTTGGTACTTTCAAATTCAGAAGATACCGTTTACCTTAGGCTTTAAAAGTTTTGATCTTAACCTAGAGGCTACAGCACCCTGTTGATCATAAACATAATCTGTACATTTGGTCACATAGGACAAAAACATTTTTTTCAATCAAAGTTTTTAAAAATATTTTATTTGACTCTAATATTGCAATTTGCGGCTGATCTCGGAAGCGGTTACCTATTGCATTGGAAAGGTTTTACATGCGTCAACAATAACTAGTGTGCATTAGCATATGTTTCAGACAACCACACTGTTTTTTGTCCCTTCGAAAAGTCCGGAAAACGCATTGGTGCGAAGTTTTGATTTTCTATTTTAATTAGAGGAATCAATGATTAGATCGTGGCCTCCTAAGTACAATAAAGACTCTGAATGATTTTAACTTTGCTGATCACAATAATCGGATCGAATCAACTTTACTCTCAAAATTTTCAGACATGCTACTACAATTTTTGGAGCAACAAGAGTTAAAAAATCCGTTCAACCGTTCAACATTGAAGCGGCTGCACAATAAGCAACAATTCATTTTTATATATAAGATTGAAAACGGCATATAATTGGACAGTAAAAACCAAAAATGTGGCCACTGCATATAAGAACAACACCAACGCAGTTTAATTAAACTATGCATATAAGTAATATTTACCCAAAAACAATGCACACTTACGCGTAAGCACACAGCCCCACACTCAGCTGACTCAGCAACTACCCAGCGTCGTGCACTTCAGCCTGTAAGTATGCAATGTATTTATGACATTAATTCTCATAATTACACTGTTGGTCAACAAATTTAATGCCCGCCAATATAAACACGCACCAACAAAATATAAACAAAATTATTCATGTGTTATAAATAAAATTAATGACAGCTTACAAGCTTGGCTATTTTAATGCTACCTTTTATTTTTATTTTTACTTTTATTATACTTGTTGTTATTGTTTTCGTTTGGTTATTATTATGATTTTATGCAGAGTGCAAAGAGCAGCTTTTATTGCGAATGCCGTGCCTCCTGCGGGCACAATCATTTCTGAATAAATTTGTTTTGGCGGCGTAGGCGAGGCGCACCAGCAGCAGCTGCAATCCGCCATAATATTATGTGGTCCATTGTAAATATGCAGTGCGGACGAGGAGAAGGCGCACTTAATGCTGCAGGGCATTGACTTAATGGCGGCGAACGACCGAGCGCGAGTAAAAATAATTCAATTCGGGAAATTTGTTCAAATGCAAAATAGCATGATTTATTTTAAAAAACCACTTTAATTTCATACATACGCATTTCCCTATATTTGTGCGCCATGGTTGTTTTTCGATTTGTTTAAATGCCGAGAAAGATGCAAACAGAGGGATAAATGTTGTACTTAGAAAGTAGCAGATAAAACTAAATTAAATCTAAAATCATTACTGCCTTCTGCTTTTGACTTTGTATACCTTCAACGTATTGCCACATATATGGAACCAAACGAACAGTTTTAAAGCTCAAGTTGGTTGCTTTATTCGCAAATTGTAATTATCATGTCGACCGCAGTGTCAGTCACTAACCAGAGTGACCTAACATCCAAAATTATTGAAAATAATTTCTGTAATTGCAGTCGTCACTTGGCAGGGACTATGAGGATTGCCCTTGGAAAATCCATCGGCCGTTTGGAGGCGGCCTAGATCAAACTGTAGTGCCATCCATTTGTTGAAAAACATCGAGAGTATGAAAAATACTTATAGAATTCTATACACACGATGACGTTTGCTAACAAATGATTAGCAGCTTCCTTCATTTCAGCTTTGACCATCTCCACGCTAAATGAATGAAGAGACTTAGATTCGCTTGCTTAGTAACTCCAATGTAGAATTGCCTTGGTGCTAAATATTCAAAATGGAAAATTAAAACCCAAAATAATTTTAAAGTTTCACTTTCCTCACATACATTTCAAAATCATATCAAAATCTTACATTCGTTACCTGCACAAAATCTGACAGACTGAGGTGATCAAAGTCTGACTTTGTATTAATTTTACTGCAACTGCTTTTCCGTGCAAGCACTGAAGCAATGTTTTCGGAAGACATTTTACTCAAGGGAGGTATAAACTAAAGCTTAGCCGTAAAGAAATAATGAGAAGCCGCTGAAAAGCAAAATCATAAAGCCTCAAGCCCAGGCAAATAAGGAGAATATAAAAAATATACAAGAAAACGTGCAGCCCTCGCCGTTTAAGGTTGCCAGGAAGTGGCGAATAAATATTTCAAGTACAGCAATTGTCAGTATCTTCAAACGCGTTACTTCTTTATATGTATAATTGTGTATCTGTACGCGGCAAAGGAATCATTACTGCGCATAAACCCATGAAAACTCATAAAATTCCACGACATAATGCCAAGCCCGAGAAAGCCATCAAATTCCGTTTAGCGCCAAAAGCTGTGCTGGGAACTGCCACAGACATTCACACCCAACGTCGCTGTCTATCACTCATCCACAATGCTCACATAACTCACACATCCGCACAAAGCGTAGAGTGGCTTAGCGGCTATTCGCCAGTAATGCCGTTTTTGTTGCCGATTCCAGCTGCCATTCTTATCCGCCAGCAAATTTAATTACACACAGACAGCAACTTTTTCGCCCGTGCAGCCTTCGCTTTGCTATTCCTCCTGCTTTTCTACTTTCCTACTTTCACCAATGACATTTGAAGGGTATGGACTGAGGTTGCTGTGGTCATCTGTTCCGTTGGCATTGACATTGCATTCTTCCTGACTTTTGTCTATTTAGTATTTTATTGCCACCACTGTCGAACGGCGACATTGACAAGGGTCATGAGGCCGCAATCAAATGGAAAACGAGGAGTTGGGAAACGAAAAAAAAAATACAACAATAATTGTAAAGAAACAGAAATGATGAAATAATGTAATTTATAACTGTACATAATTAATATCAAAGTTCGGACTTCTGGTGTTATAGGTGCACTGTGAACAGACAATTCTTGCTGATGTGGCCGCATTATTTATGCTCAACTAAGCAAGGAGCCCGCGAACATAATTACAGATTGATCTACTACGGCTTGGGAGCGATTTCGATGGTAAAGATGGTAAGCGCATTTTCTTAGCCATAGAAAGTTTAAGGAGTGAGAAGATATCGAGCGGGTATGAGAAAACAGTTATGACCTACTTCTTTTTTAGATCTATATGAATATTCGCTGGCATAGTAGACGGCACGTAAGTTCTTGCTTTTTTAAATATTTAAAAGAAAAATTATATACCTCTCCGGCAATCCTTTTTGAATAATCAAACTCTTTTCTTACACAAAAACCACGAATGACGTCAGTTGTATGCAAAAAGCTAAATATATTTTTTATTTATGTGCAAATATATTCTT